TAAACCAGCGGTCGTCTTCCGGTTCTTGATAGCTAAAATGAACCTTATACTGTTTCTGTGGACGACCCCTACCTCCAGTTCTGAATACGTCTTCAGCCACTATGCCATCGATGTCATACTTTCCATCCATATCGGGTGGAATCATAGATCTACGGGATGGAAACTGATCACTTGTCTGACAAGGTAGTAACTTCGATGCGTGGAAAACTGTGTAAGTGTGGAGGTGTGCTGGTAACTCTATGGTGTAGGATGGTCCATCTTCGCCGCCCTTGACTTCCAGAACAGGCCATGGCCCTCTATATGTGGGCAGTAACTTCTGCGAGATGTTCTCCTMAGGTGCGAATTCTCTAGAACTAACCCAGACTAAGTCGCCTACCTGAAACTGTGAAGGGCGACGGTGTTTGTTCGCTTGCTCTATCATCTTATGCTGGGCTTTCCTGAGGTTCTCGACAAYAGTAGCTAGTTCTTTCTCGTGCTGTACAGCAAACTCCCTGGTCCCGGGCGGCAATCTATGMATCTGATCCCGGTTGAGCCCCTCAAACGGTCTGCGTGGTCGAAAGGACTTGTGCAGCTCGTTGGGAGTGCGGCATGTAGACAAATGCACGCTGTTATTGTACGCACTAGCTACTTTGGGCAACATCTCATCCCAGTTAATCTGATCCGGCCTAATATACATGCACAGAACTTGCTGTAGGATCTTGTTCATTTGCTCTGTCTGACCGTCAGTCTCTGGATGACGGCCGGACGACATCAATAACTTAGACCCATATACTCCCATGAGTTCTTGCCAGTTCTGGCTGGTGAAGCGACTATCTCTATCACTAACTATTGACAGCGGGATTCCATTCTCACTAAACCAACAGTCAAAGAATCTCTATATGACTAAATAAGTACGTGCCTCTGAAGGCAAAGGAACAAAAACTGCGTATTGACTTGGCTCTTGCCATGCCTGCTCTTGACTTGAGTGTCCATGAAGTCGATGGACATTGAGTCCCCCGGCTGCTCCGGAATGGGCAAGGGTCTGAGAAGACCTAGCGGGGCGCGCGTAGAACTCTTGTTACGCTAGCAAACCTTACAACTGCGAACATACTCTACGCAGTCATTCTTCATCCCTGGCCAGGTATATGCGCGCATTAGGTTGGCTAAAGTCTTCTGCCAACCAAAATGACCCTCTGTGTCGTGGCATTCTCCCAAGATCAGACTACGGATCTCTTCGCTATTGGGAATGCACAACCGGTCAAAGACATTAGTCTTCTCAAACAGTAACCCTTCAGTTGTGCGGTAGTTCGGCTCAGTCTCTGGGGCCTCTTTGACTTTCTTAAGGAGGTCACTATAGATAGGATCCTGCGCGTACGCTTCTTTAACCCTCTGCTGCAGGTCCTTCCCTATATCAAGATAATGCACTATCGCCCCAAAGTAATCCGCCCTTCTACTCAGAGCATCCGCGACTACGTTGTACTTCCCTTTGACAGGCTTGAGCTCGAAGTCGTACTGGTCTATCTCTGCGGCCCACCTAGTTAGCTTAGGTGTCATCTTGGCCTGCGTCTTTAACCATCGTAACGTTTCATGGTCATAGTAGACTTTGAAGTGCCTCCCAAGCAAGTAGTGCTTCCAATGGTCTAACGCTTGCCTGAGAGCGTAGAGTTGCCTCTCATAGGTAGATGTCGCGACCTTCTCTGAAGGCATCCTGGCGGACATGAACTCTACGGGTCTATACCCATTGCCATCGTCTTGCTGCAACACCGCGCCTATGCCGTACTGGCTAGCATCCGTAGTGACGACAAAAGGCAAGGACTGGTCGGCTACCTTAAGGACCGGGTACTCTATCAATGCCTGCTTCAACTTTTTCATGGCAGACGTGCAGTCCTTGTCCCACTTCCAGATGGTCTCCTTCCTGAGTAATCTGCGAAGGGGCGCAGCGATAGTGGAAAAGTTCCTCACGAACTTCCGGTAGTAATTAGCTAAGCCCAGGAACGAGCGCAACTCTGTCAGTGTACGTGGCGTGGGCCAATCTCTAATCGCTGCAATCTTGCTATCCTCTGGCTTAATGCCGTCTCCATCTAAGACGTGGCCTAGGTACAAAACTTGGGTCTTCGCCCAATCGCACTTCTTTGCATTGATCTTGAAGTTAGCTTCCCTCAGCTTCTCCAAGACTTGCCTGAGATGACCCTGATGCTCTTCAAGGGTCCGGCTAAACACTAAGATGTCATCTAAGTAAACTACAACAAATCTGTCTAACCACGGCCTAAACAAATCGTTCATGCAGCGCTGGAACGTAGCTGGCGCATTGGTTAGTCCAAAGGGCATCACTATGAACTCRTAGTGCCCATATCTAGTCCGGAAGGCTGTCTTATACTGATCATCAGGATGCACCTCTATCTGATGATACCCGGACTTCAAATCTATCTTGGAAAAATACTTCGCCCCCTGCACTCGATCTAAGAGATCGTCTATCCTAGGCAGTGGCTCGACATTCTTTACTGTAATAGCATTCAGACCCCTATAGTCTATGCACATTCTCAGCTCTCCCTCTTTCTTAGGAACAAAGAGGACAGGCGCTCCGAAAGGAGACGAACTGGGCCTAATCCAACCCTTCTCGAGGAACTTATCTAACTGCTTGCGAAGCTCCTCTAACTCCCGTGGGGACATCCTGTACACCGCACCCTTAGGAGTTCTACTGCCAGGCTCTATCTCAATACGGTGCTGGATGGCCGCGGCACCGTGCCTGTCGGCGGCTCAGTCAAATCTCTAAACTCTTCCAGCAGCTTGGCAATCGCAGGGTCCATCGGCTTTTCTTCCGTAGGCTCAGTCACTGGCCTAACATAGGCAACAAAAACCTGTTCCTCCAACTTCTCCCTTTTCACCAGTCTGGCGAACGCGGGGGCACTAAGGCAGCAATGCGCCAAGGAATTCTCTTCCCCGGACACATGGAACAGGCGGGCAGTCTGGGCCTCGCCTGACGAACTAGGGAGCCTACACTCGTGCTCCTTTAAATGGAGCGTGGCCCCGACTGCCTCTCCCCAATCCATTCCCAGAACAATATCAAATGGGAGGCTGTCATCTACGAGGAGAGTCAGGGAGTGGAGGATCTTCTCCACTTTCCCATCTTTCTCTAGGCGGAAATACGCCTGGACACCCTCTACATAATCCTCTACAACCATGGTACGATTGTCTGCGAGGATACTAACTATGGGGTCTGTCAATTTCTGGACTTTAAGTCCCAGCCTTAACTTCTGCAGCGCTTTCCTACTGATATAGCTGCGGGTGGCCCCTGAGTCTACTAGGGCCTCTACTCTAGCTCTAAAAATCTTTGTATCTAGTAAAATCAGCTGCCCTTTATTTTCTTTCTTCATCTTGGCCCAGACGGGCCTCCTCTCCTTCAATTCTTCGGCCACGCCTGTGAGGGAGGTGTCTAGAGAGATCCTAATACAAGCGGTCTCTGGGCAGCTATCTAGACACCGGCCTGCAACCTCTGCCATAGGCGCATGTGGTGTGGGAGTCTCCTGTCGGCTAGCGCTATGTTCCCCACATGGCCTAATGGTAGGGGCAGTTGCTACCCCTACCGGCGGCTGCCTTTTAGCCCTTGGGCAGCCGTTCGGGTCTCGCGATACTTAGGACAATATTTAATGATATGGCCCGGGTCACCGCAAAAAATGCATTGGCCCCGGTCCAATCGTTGTTGCCATAAAGTCTGGTCCAGACCCAAAGATTCCCAAGGCCTACCCTGAGGTAGCCCTGGGTGCCATCCGCCTACCCTATAGGGAGACCTGTTTCTARGACGGTTTTGCGGGGGACCTTGACCCCTGCCTCCCGCTTGGCGGTTTCCTCCTCTGCCGCCAACCCCCTGATCGCCCTGAAATCGGCTCCCTGAGGCCCGGCCCCCTTGGCCCTGGCCTCGTCCTCCTCCTTGCGGCCTCCCTCCGGCCGCGACAGCAGCGTAAGTTCTGCCCTGACCCACACCGCTGTCATCTTCCTCTAACCCCCACTCAATCTGGTCGTAGGGGACCTCATCCACACTACCCTCATCTAGAGTTAGGACAAGGCTATCCTTAGTCTTCACCTGCCCTGAGATAGTGTGGCCTTTCCATTGTTTTCCCTTGTCCAAGTCTTTGTGCCAGAAGGTAGACACAGATGCAGACTTGGCTTCAAAGGCCACCGCCTCACGACTAAGAGAATCATAGGTAGTGGCCGGATCTTCGCTCTTCGCGAAGAAGTACCCTCGCAAGGCTTCGAGGATAGCCCGGTAGAAGAGGCCGACCAATTGGGTGTCTGTGACCCCATGGTCAGGAACAACGATTAGTTCATCCATCGTTCTCTTGAGTGCCCTGGCACTCTTCCACTTACGAGCGTGGATTGTCTGGAGCCTATCTGAGGCCTTGACACTTCGAGCGGCATTTGCAAATCGCTCGCGCAGCAATCTCATAAACTCAGTGAGGAAGGTAAAGGACGAATAGGCAACTGGATCATCATTGCAGTTAGCGGCGCGCACTAGGGACCTTGCAAAATTGGCGGCCTCATCTTTAAGCGCATGGATCGCGATCAGGACATGCTGATCTGGGGAGACCTGTTGCAGATGCACATAGGTCTTAACGTTGGTTTCCCAATTGTCAAAGTTCTCTTCCCTTTTCCCACTATAGGAATCAGGGAATTTGACCTTGACTGGCTCTCTACGCGGCGGGCGTGGTTCCTCCTTCTTTGGAGCTGCCACTTTGACGCCTTCAATGGCGCCAACGCAGAAACGCTCTGTCTTCTCGAGGCGATGATTCACCTCGGCTGCTATGGCTCCTATCAATTCGCGCGCAAAGTCCTAGAATCCCATTCGCATCGAGCGCACAACTATGTCCTGGCTTCGACTTTGCTAACCGCTCAACGCTCTGGGCAAGGATCTCTACCTTTCGTTCGAGGTCTACCTGAGGGGTTAACTTTAGGCTTAGTTTCTGCACTTCTTCTAATTCCTTGACCGCCTCACTTCCCGCCTCCACCCTTCTCTTCTTCTCTCTCATCATCGCGAGTTTCCACTGTTCATCCTCCATCGCCTGTCGCTTTAGCACATCCCTTTCTGCTTCCCATTTCTTCAGGGCGGCTTCCTGGTCATCTTTAGGGATATACATAGTCACTTCTTCCTCCTCTCCCAAGGACAAGTTAGCAACCCACTCTGAAATCCGTTTTTCCATCTCATCATCCCTGTTGCCACTGTGGTGCCCTCTCCTTCTTTCTAGTGGCGGTCCCTCATCTTCTTCCTCTTCCACCTCTTTCAACTTCTCCTCTTCTTCTTTCTTTATTCTCTCCTTCTCTCTGGCCATCTCTTCCTCTATCTTCTTCAATTTGGCCGCCTGCTCCTCCTTCAAGGCCTTCTTCTTGGCCTCCTTCTTCTCCTTCCTCTCCTGCAAGATGGCAGCCATCTTCGCCTCCTCCTCCTTTGTGTACGGCATGGTGGAGGTGCCGCCCCGGGTGTCTACCATGGTGGTGTCAGGTGCACGACAAAGGTCCCCCTCCTCACCATTTGGACCTACCCGGACACAAACCTACTGACTGACTTCCTAAGGACCACAGGATAAGACCCTGTCAACTATGGTCACTAACCCAAGACTAAGGCTGTCACTACTGAACCAAAAGCTGATCTGGAGGCATTTAAGGAGATCCCCCGTAACTCCTCAAGAATTATTTAACGTCGCAGTCAGGACGACGTGATCAGCGTGGTTCTTCCTGGCGATTTCAGCCCACAACTCAGCCGATCCGGCCTACTCTGCCACACCGAGCAGCCCGCCGGTCTGTACCGGTCCTTGGAGGGGTTCGTATCCCTCGGGACAGTCGAGTCGTCAGACACAGATCATCAGCCTTACTAGGTCCGGTAGGGGAGTGGTTCAACCAGGACTCAACACTTAAAGACGACCTTCGTTTCAGCCTACAGCTCGGAGTTCGGACTCTCTACACTGAACTTAGTAGACCCGCCGGACAGTACCGGTCATTGGGCTAGACGAGTTGTTTAACGAGCGCTTGCCGCTCATGCCCAGGTCTCCCGATGCCAGAGTAGAGATTAGTCCTACTAAGTCCCGTGCAGGTTTGGCAGCAAGGCCCTATCCTTCATCCACAGAGTCCTATCACCTAGGACATAAGAGACTCAATGCAGAAAGAGAAACAGACAGACTCAGCAAGTACCGTGGGGTAAGTGCACATCCACAGGGTAAGGGGATAGGCTGTAAGGTCAACGAGATATCACCAACTCCAGCTTGGTCAAAATCCTGGTCGGCAGCTCTGGTCAACGCCTTGGCCAACGCTGAGTCAACGCGGACAACCCCCAGTCAACGCTTGGTCAACCACCTTGGTCAACGCCTAGTCAACCCTCTGGTCAACGGTCTGGTCAACGGTCTGGTCAACGGTCTGGTCAACGGTCTGGTCAACGCCCGGTCAACCCCTCACCTCGGCTATGGCTGCCGGCACCTTCACCTTCGTCACCCTCGCCGTCTACTTCCCCTTCCTTCACTTTCTTTCTTCTTCTCTTTC